AACTACCAATTCACCCCACTCTTGGTAGCCGTGGGACCTTTACTTAGGCTTAACAACCTAATTACTAGACTCAACAACTTCTAAGGCCCTTGCCATTTCCGGGCCTTGATCCATAAAAATTGTTTTGGGATGTTTATCACCCATTATACGTAAAAAAAGTTGTGAACAGCTACGTAAATGATTCAATCATCTCTTATGAAAAGAAAGGCACCCCAAGCAAAATATTTTGCCAATGATTATTAACCCCAACAAATGGTACACATACCAAATTATACTTATTAAGTCTATAACTAGTATAAAATACTACCACATCATCAAAGCAGTCATAATCGATCCGGTCAATGCCATCAACCCAAAAAACAAATTTAACAATCTATCAAATTCATCAAATTGGACATCCCAAGTGAACATATTGTCATCAACTTGACGATCTTTAAATAACTTAATCAAAGAATTAGTATCTCCAAATTCAATCTTTGCTCTTTTCTCTTTTTGAATAAAGTTGTACGCATCCCTCTTTAGATAATCCAAGGTTCTGGACACCTCCAACATCATCAACAAGGTAGGTACATGCATCAATAGTTCTTATCCCGCCTTCTGTCATTGATTTAAGAATTGAAGCTTTAACTTCACACATATTCCTACATGATCTAAGAAGATGCCAATCTTCTAGCCTTGACAAATCATGATTGTGGGTTTCAATGAATTTTTTCACCTTCCAATATCCAACTTCATCCACTATAAATCTAATCATTGTTGGACAACCTGTTCTGGTGTCTGATCTACGATATTTCAATTGAAAATTAAGATCAGGCATCTTCTTGAAACCAGCTTTGGAACAAATAAAGTCATTGGATTTAATTTTTCTAGAATTTGGTCAATAACTATGATGATCCTTACGAACACTAAAACCAATATTATGGTAATAATTACAATTAGCCTCGTATGCCTCTTTCTCATTCTCATAAACATCCTAATAAATTATAAATAAATTAGTAAAAAAAAAGTAAATAAGCACAGCATACACATAAACAACGCAGTAGATACGTACATTGTACGCATAAAATATGCTCTATGTAGGCACATATTACGCACAACATACACAGTATATACGCACATAATACACACAACTTATACAGTATATATACACACTGAATACTCACAACATACACATAAAATATGCAATATAAAAAACAATATATAAAACACATAATATGCATCTCATTTTTTCAATGCTCTTTCACCACTTTTCATTGTATTTCAATAATAAAGTATCTAGGCAGAAAGAACTCAGTAATTTTACATGTGAAACATGTCATAATGGACAAATAGGCTTGTTTCAAAGAAAACTTAGAGGATTCGAATCTTTACCGATAAGTTGAGTTCTAATTTCGTAAATTTATCTTTTCTGGTGGCTGCACTTCTTCTTTTATCTGTTCTACTTCTTCGACGTCTTCATTCTTGTTTTTGGCCGCCGCGTCCTCGGAGAATATCGTGTTGTCGTAAAAAGAAGTGACCTCCTCCAGATCAATCTTCAATTTCATCGGCATTTTCTTTGTTCTTTCTTAATTCCTAAGCTTGCCCCAAAATTTTCGCTAAATCTTATATAATGAGGAGCTTCGTGGCTTAAATCTATAAAAAAAAAATGACAACCCTAATTTGAGTTGTGCGGATTTCGGATTTACGTGTTGAAGCCACGTCGGAATTTCACTAATAAAATTACGAAATCATTTTCCACGTAGGCATTCCACGTGTTACAATTTTAGTGGCGTCCGAATGCATCTCCACGTCTGGAATGCGCACTGAATAATAGCTCCTTTGGATCAAGTATCAAAACTTCATGAATCATTTATAGAAATTTCTACCCAACAGCTTGCTTTACTCATTCCTATAAAACTTGAAATTTTAATCAAAGTAAATTAAAAGAGTTATACGTAGTAACTCATCAAGTTGCTCGACAACAGCGAAAGCTGCGAATAGATAAAAGCCCGGTCTCTATGATTGCTAGGGAAGACACTTGATCAAAACTCTAGATCAAAAGGGAAGCTTAGAATAATGGATGAGAGAGTAGGAAGTGAAGGAAGAAGATATTTGGAGCGGGGTAGAATATTGGGAGAGAATAATGAAGTGAATGAAGAATTGGGGCGGAACACAATAAAGAACAATTTAGGGCCTGTGGAAGTAGGTTTTTAGAAGTTTTTATGTTAGTTTAAAACACCCCATTTTGAAGCAGTTTAAACTGGTACTAAAGGTGGCTATTGAAATCACAATAGTAGTCTATCTATAGAAGTAGTTTGAAAACTGCTACAATGATATGCTATTAAAAATTTTAATTTTTATTAGTGATTGGGTCAACCTATAACATTGGATTTTGGATTTTGAAGTTCTTTAGGGACTATTTGGTTTGTTGCAAATTTGGTGGAAAATATTTCAAATATAAGAGTTTTAAATATATTGGTGTTTGGATTGAAGTAAAACGAATGAAGAGTAAAATTTAGAAGTCAAAGGAATTCACCATCTAGTTCAAATCAAGTATATTTGGAATTCCTCCAATTTGGATTTCCAATTAAACTAAAAACTCACTTTCACTGCCATCGCCGGCTGCCACAGCCCTCCATGCTAGCTACCTCGTGCCGCTAGCCACCGCCAGCAAACAATGGCCACTATCAGCGACCACCGGCCAGCCCCAACCACAGTTCATCACTGTCAACAACTACTGCTTGCTACCTCCCATCGCTAGTCACCCCCAACCACTGTCGACCACGAGCTACCGCCCACCCCCAATTATTGTTGGCCACCACCAACCACCATCATTTTAAACTTTACACTACAATCAATTTATTTCAAGCCAAACAGAAGAAAAAAAATCCTGTATTTATTTTGCACTCATTCAAACAACTCCAAAGTATTTTAATTCCACTGCATTTCTTCAACACTTATTCCTTCTTCAGCCAACCAAATAATCCCTTAATAAAAAGCTTCATTAGTTATTCATACTCCAAGCCTTTGCTTTCTTCTCTTTTGAAATTTAAAGTTCAATTTTCAAATGAGGCAACTTCAATTGAAAAAAATGAAAGAGAAATGATTCTTTGGCCAAACTTTCTCTTGGATATTCCATATTAAAAGAGAAGAGCTTCAACTATATATGAAAGAGAAAGAAAATAGCTAAATTTCTTGATGTATGAACTTGAGGGGCATAAACAAAACATGAATGGTTCCATATTAATTGCAATTTTTTGTGTGCTCCTATTAAGGATTAAAATAAATAGCAAACCCGTATCATGATTATATGCTGATCAAATTTCTTTTCTGTTGAATAATTACATTTGAATCTTAATGAAAAAATTGTGTTGTGACAATTGTTTAATCCCTCTTATCATTTATGTTGAGGATTTTGCTCTTGATACAGAAGGATAAAATGTCATTTAATATAAATCATATGATATTTCTCATTTAAAGATGGCTTAGCAGACAACTCATTTGTTAAATGGACTATATGAGATAAGAGTTGGTTGGAATTTTGAAGCCAGTGTAAATATGTGCAGCATAGAAAGTAGTGATATGACATCATTCTCATGAACAATGGTCTAATCATTAAATTTGCTATCGGGTGTAGCGAGTAAATCAAACAAATTATTTTGGTTTAAGTGTATGTTTAACTCTTAATAAAGAAAACAATAACATCTTTCTTAAGAGAAAACAGCCTTTAGATATTTTTTTTCTTTGTTTTTATCCAATTCACTTTTTTGTAATGGAATCTTTAAGATTACAACTAGGAATTATATGAAATTATTTAGGATCAAACAGATTGGACTGGCCCAGATTGATTTGCTCAATATTGCCCCTTCATAAAGAACAATTATTACGTCCTCTGACCGGACGTAGAGCTACGTTCGGCCGCCAATAACATGTCGCCCGTGCTCTTACTCTTTACCGCGCGACCCGACAACTTGACCCGGAGCGAAACCCGAGAATGCTATGTTCGCGATTTTCTCGGTATTGCTCTGTATTTGCTCAGTATTTGCTAGGTATTGCTTTGTAAAAATGAGAAATACCGCTCTGTTAAGACCAATACCATGCAAATACCGAGTTGTACCGAGTTTTTTTACAACTCAGTACAACTCGGTACAACTCAGTATTTGCTCGGGATTTGCTCGGTATTGTTAGGGATTTGCTCGGTATTTGCTTAGTATTACTAGAAAAAACTCGGTACAACTCGGTATTTGCTCGGTATTGCTAGGTATTTGCTCGGTATTTCTCGGTATTGGTTATTGCCGAGCAAAATCGACCAATATCTAGCAATACCAAGCAATTTTGGATCCGTTCTGGGTCGGGTTGTCGGGGCACGCGGTAAATAATGAAAACGCGTGGCACGATTCTACTGGCGGCCGAACGTAGAGTTGCGTACATTCACCGGACCAAATAAAAATTCCTTCATAACATCCTACTTGGTCTTTATATGTCAATGCTTCTGGCCATAAATTTATAATTCTTAAAACTATTTCAAATATAAAAAATCATTTAGAAACAAAATTCTGAATCATTTTTAATCATTTTACTTACTGTAAGATTCACACCTTACACAGAATTATAATGTAGTTGAACAAATAAGGAATTTTCTACCCCAACGTGAATGAATATCAAGATAACAACCGGTAGTATTTTATTCCTAAGAACTTGTCGAGGCTTTAGGCAATTACTCATATCGCTTTTGAAAATCTTCATTCTTACAGAACCAATTTAGCTCTCAATAAAATCACTCCGTTATAGACCAACTTATCTTGCTGACTTGACACAATTTTGATAACAAACCACATACTTATTTGATTGGAAATAAATAAAAAATTTAAAAATACCATTTCTAAAGAACCTAACAGAACTACCTAATTATGAAACAGGATTCAGAAACCCTTTCCATGCCCAGCGTTCATTTTCATTATGTTCCCGTCCCATGTCCTTTAAATTGGCCATTCACTAACAAAAAATGTGCATTGCAACCAACACCTTGGATAAAACCCCTGAAGAGTACAATGCCATGAGAAAAGAACTTGAGCCTGTACAACTTGTAAAACAATCTAAATATCATTGCTTACTAGCGTTAATCAAAAAAGAATTTCAAAGCCCAGATGTGTAGTACAGAGCTGTTAAGTGCCCATTTAATGCAGACAAATATAGCTCGGCAGAAGTCAAAATAATACAAAGGCAATAATTATCTTCCATTCCTCAGCCTCAAATGCATCAACAAAAATCCCATGGTGTTGTATGGTGCATGGAAATTGATCAAAACGCAGCGAAAGCAAGAGGCCTTGGTTATAATTTGTTTCGTATCTGATTAGTATTCGGTGCTCTCTAATCTCTTCATGCTGCACGAGCATAACAAAAAATAATATGTTTTTAACGATCCAAGTAATTCACACTGAAGTTTTAGGCGACTGCAAAATAGCAATTTGATCCAATACTATCTTCTTGCTTTCAAGAAATTTTGTACGAAAAAGTAACTTTTCAAAGCAATAAAAAAATCATCTCAAACAAAGCCTAAGGCTACATTTGGTATAGCTTTCTTGTTACTTTATAAAATTGTTGTATACAAAGTAATTTTATAAAATTGTTGTATACAAAGTAATTTTATAAAATTGTTGAAGAAAGCATCTTCCCTAGTATAAAAATTTTTTGAAAGTTCTGAAAAAATAATGACTGACTACAAATGAAAAAATTGTCCCAAATAAAGAATAAGAGTGATAATGAGATAAAATTAATATTGCAGAACTATACAATCATCTGATAAAATTTGTAGAAAGAGAAATCCAAAGTTAGCCCGACCCATAGCTCCAAAACAAATCTTGATATGCTGATACTAAGAGATGGAGAAAGGGAGAGAACTTAATTACCCCATATGATTGTATTGCACATAATCCCTTGAAGCTAACTCGGCTATTAACATACCAAGATAATCTTTGGGTCGAGGTAGGCAGCATAGCGTTACCTTTTGCAGGAGAATAATAACAACGGAATGTTAATGAAAAAAGACGCCCAAATTCAAAATTTTAAACATTTAAAACCTTGGCTAGTAATATCAACATTGTTAACTTTATTTCAACAATTTGGGGATATGGTTTTATCAACAAATTCAAATAAACCTTGGTTTTATCAATTCTCAACGATTTATTATCTCTCAATTGTTGCATGACGTGCGAAGGCAGGACTACTCTTTATTCACACCAAAATTAAGTCAGAAAGAAGAATTGAAGTGCGTAAAGAATATATATAATAAACTTACAATTTATAACGTCTACTCTTTATATTCTGGAAGAGTTGAATAATTACTTCATTATCAATACAATCTAAAATTTCTTACTCAATAGGAGCGATTAATAAATCAGTCATCCATTGATCTCCAATTCTATTTCGCAACAAATCCTTTGTAATATTCATGGAAGAAAATGCTCTTTCGATGTATGTTGTTGCAACGAATAAAACCAATGCCAATTCTAGTTGTCTAAAAATAAGAGGATATATTATATCCTTTCTACTTTGGATCATTTTCTAAGCAAGGCCTCCTATTTCTTTTAATAAAGAGAACTGATCATCAGATCGTATATCCATAATGTAAGTAGCCAACTGATTTTCAAGAATCATCTGATAAAAATAGTAAAATCAGTTGCATAAAACTGTGGCATTCTAATCAACTTGTCTTTTTTGAATTATTAAATCCATTATTAGGATCGAAACAGACAATAGACAAAAGTAACTCAATATTTGCTTTTATAAAATGATTGCTCAACTCTTAAAGTTTGCATATCAATAATTGTAAAGAAAATTTCAACAGTAAAATGATATGAAGTTGTTATATCCTGAGCTCTACGATGAAGCCGACCACGAGCAACCCATTTATCATCCATATGTGAAACTTCAATTTTTTGTTGCTCATAGAATGTTGAGTTACTTTACTGATGAAGTCTGCCCACTTATTATCTTTCATATCTATTAGTCTGATTTTACATACATAAACCAGACATGACGTTTAAAATATCTTATTCTCCTCTCTACAAAACATGTGATAGTTCGATTGTGATACCAAGAACATCTTTCATCAGTTGTAGGAAAAAGGAAAATATGAAGGTTTGTTATGATTCCAATAATGCATATGCCTCACCTCTTTATTCTGAGCTTACACCATCTTCCAAAATAATTTCCAGGACATCAATAATTGTATAAAACATTGTGATCAACCTTATAATAGATTCATAATACGAACCCCATCGTTTATCGCCAGCATGCTTAAGGGTTATTACTTGAAGCAAGCCACACCCTATTATTAGTTCTCCAGTTTGTAATTGATATAATGTATTCTCTTGCTGTATATCTCAAAATTGATCATGACACTTATAAGAAACACTAACAATATTCATCACATTTGAAATCATAGTGAAATGAAGTAATTTGAACATGATTTTTTTTCCTAATATCAACGCTAATTGAAGCTGATCTGAAAAGTAATGAATGTAATGTATTGATTTATTTTCATTCAAAAATAGAGCTTTTAAACCATTAAACTCTCATCTCATATTACTAGAATCGTCGTAACCATGACAACACATTCAAGAAATGCTCAATCCATAACTTGAAAGTTGTTCAATTGCTATTTTGAGGCTACTTGATGTTGTATTTAGCACATGAGAAATCCCCAAAAAATGCTCAACTATCTAACCTTTCTTATTAACAAAGCACACTACAGTTGTCATTTGCTCTTTTGCAAAAATGTTACATGATTCATCAACTAAAATTGAGAAAAGAATATTACCAATGTCCTCACTAATAAATTTACTAATTACTACTCTTTCAATATCTTTCTGAATATCTGGCGCAAATAATTTCAAATTTTCAGGTGCATTCTTTAGTACCAAATCATTTGTGTCTTTGCTATGTTCAGCTAAAAATTGCACTAATTGAAGAAAATTTCCCTTATTGTTTGATTTAGAGGACTCATTATATACCCAAAAAGCCAATTCTTATCTTAAAAGAAATCCTATGCAATGAAACGAAGTATTTAGATGTGTGCAATATACATTTGAAGCTTGATCTAACTACTTTTGGAATCTAAAAACAATATGCTGACTCTGTCTCATTAAGTCTTCACAGCTTCGTCTACCCTTATTATACACACTGTTATGGCTTTCTACATGAACCTCAAACCTATTAGTTTTTTTTTGTTCAATTTGAAAATTCATTTTTATTAAATGCCTTCTCTTCGTTATCTCTACCGGATGTTCTAAAATGATAACAATATAGGCAATATGTTTTTTTTATATATATGTTATGCTCTAGTCAATCCAAGTACTTGTCAAACCAAGTAGGATTAAAGCATTTGTTTTTCATCTCAAACTTAGATTTTGAAAAATCATGACTGCGAGGTTGAAATGGTCCTCTTTGTAAATATTTTCTAAGAACTTTATCTCGAATATCAGGGTTACACTCACTAATAAGAATTCTCAATCTTGGATATGATGGAAGATTTTCTACATTTAATTCCATATATTGCTTTGGTAAATCTACCTCTACTAATGCACTTTTCATTTTGTTCTTCAACTTTATTGTTATTCTCATCCATAGTTTTTTGATGCATTTGAATTCGATGATCGCTAGAAATATCTTTCCATGGATATTCAAACTCATACTCAAAGATGCCCTAAAAGTATATATACTGTTAAGATATAAAATTGAGGAATTCAAACAAATGTGCACACATTTTTATTTCATATTATTAGACATTAATATTTTCTTTTAAACACAAAAAATACCGAATAAAATACTAATCATATGTGTAGAAAATTTAGTACTACTCTTATTTAAAAAACTCTTGATGAGATGAGGATTGGATTTCCCGAAAGATTGCACTTCTTTTTTGCTTCTTGTGGATTAATCAAGCTAAATGGTTAAGGTTTGAAGAGAAGCTGGCATCCTCAGACGCAGATGTAAGATTTGACATGTTTTAGGTTGATTGATAACAAACAAAAATTAAAAAAAAAAAAATCATTACCTGGAGCAGTTCTTTTTGCCACTGCTGTTTGGGTGGAGGAAAAGTAAGCCGAGAGCAGAGAGCTCGTCTTCGTTTGCGTTGAGGGAAAGCAAGCCGAGAGCCCATCTACCATCTAACCCGTCTCTGTCTGGGTCGAGAGAAAGCAAGCTGAGAGACCGTCTCTGTCTGTGATGTATGTAAGTTTCATATTTTCCCCACTTTTTGCCGCTTTATGATGATTTGAATACCCCCTAGTAATGCTTCAGTTTTCCCTCATCTTGGGGGTTGTTATGATTCGATTTTTCCCCCTATGCTGCTATCTATTCCCCTCCCTTTCACGGTTTGGTGGCTGTTGGTTTTCCGTTGATTTCCTAGGCGGCTGTTGGAGTTCTGCTAGGTTTTCTAAGTAGATTTCAGTTTCTATGTCATTGGCTGCTGTGAGTTGCTTCGGTTTCTTGCCAAAGCAGCTGCCCCTTCGGACCCTGCTTGTTGCGGTTTTCAATAGTATTCTAGTGGTTATTTTAGAGGTTCTTTAATTAACTTGCATTAAATATTTTTTCTCTTTTTCCCCCTATAAATAATGGTTGTTTTCCTGCAATAAAAGAAAGTTTGATGTGAAAATGTTTGAAATGTAAAAGCCTGCAGGTTTTTTAGCTTGCGTGCTAATTTCATTTTTTCTTCTCCTCTTAAAATTCGTCTTGATCTTCTAACCTCTTCTTCTATATCCATGGTTCCCGCCTCACTTGTATCTTTCTTCTCAAAGTTAATATAATATATGGTTTATGTTTGTCATATTTATGTTAAAGGAAGACTTTTTGTTTGCAATCTTGGTTTTTTTTTTTTTTTGCATCAATTTGGTATCAGAGAATCTAGGATGTTGTAAGTGTCTCACTTTCATTTAAAAAAAATGGAAAGTCAAAATAATCAAGCTGAAGGTAAACAAGAAAGTCATTTAACTATGCCTAGCATTCCTGAGACATACTTCCAACAACAAAATGGGTTCCACCTCGAGCATATTCTTCTAATCCTCTACAAAATGAGCTTCTCAAGATTCAAAGACAACTGCATTTAAGTGCCGAGAAATTTGAAGCTAAGAAACTTCAATTCCTGTCTGAATTTGAACGAGCAAAGGAGATAATCAAAAGAAAGTAAGACATATTAATTCAAGAATTGGAAATGCCAGATTTTCAAAATTTTGAGTCGAACTCATTAGGTGATGAGATTTCTCCACTAAAGGAGAATTGATGTAGGCAAGTTTTCAGATTTTCCCCACTTTTGCCATCGTATGATGCTTCAAATTAATTGATGCAACAAAAAAAACTAAGATTGCAAACAAAAAGTCCTCCTTTAACATAAATATGACAAACATAAACCATAAAACTTATATTAAGTGAGGCGGGAACCATGGATAGAGAAGAAGAGGTTAGAAGACCAAGACGAATTTTAAGATGAGAAGGAAAAAGGAGACTAACTCGCAAGCTAAAAATCCGCAGATTTTTACATTCCAAACATTTTCACACCAAACTTTTTTTACTGCAGGAAAAGAACCACTATTTATAGGGAGGAAAAGGAGAAAAAAAATATTTAATGCAAGGTAATTAAAAAATCTCTAAAGCAGCTACTAGAATACCCTTGAAAACTGCAGCAAGCAGGGACCGAAGGGGCAACCTCCTGTGGAAAAAACAAAAGCAACACAGCAACCAATGGGGGGAATTCGAAACAACTCACAGCAGCCAATGACACAAAAGACTGAAATCTGCTTAGGAAACCTAGCAGAACTCTAACAGCCACCTAGGAAATCAGCAGAAAAACAACAACCACCAAACCGTAAAAGGGAGGTGAATAGACAACAGGATAGGGGGAAAAATTGAAGCATAGCAGCCTCCAAGATGGGGGAAAACCGAAGAATTTCTAGGGGGGGGGTTCGTAGCAACATACAACGGCAAAAAGTGGGAAAAATCTGAAACTTGCCTACATCAGTGCTCGAGGCACCGACTCGCGAGTCGCAGGGGAGGAGCGTAGGTAGCGGAGCGGTCGAGCGAAAAAGAGGCGTGATGCAAACCAAAGAAATAGGGCATTGACATATTTTTTCTTTTCTTTTGGGTTCGGGGGAGGTGGTATATACTAAGAGTTTTTTTTTTTTTTTCGGGGGGGGGGGGGGGTTGGGGGGGGGGGGGGGGGGGCACTTGCCTCTGCTTGACCCCCTCACCCTCGCTTCGCCCGTGGCTATCATCACATCTTTAAACGAAACAAAAGTGTGAAACAGTGCACTTACAGAAAGGACAATGCTGCTTCAAATTATTATATCATGCCATTACATTTCCAAAACATATTAAAGGTGTAGAATGGAGCACAAACAAGTACAGTGGACAAGCATATAATAAGCTAGGAATTACACAGGCCAAAAGAATAAAAATATGAACAGAATAAAACGGAAGCTATTTTACACTTCGAATGGTTATTAGACTGAACAAATACCGTGACAGTAAAACTGTTGAAAACTTCTACCATTTCTCCTTCCAATAAAAAATCACTTTTTGAAGGCAATGATTGGCCTGTCAAAACCAGCAACTGTGCCAGATAAATTGTCTGTGATGGTATCGGCAGACCTAAAGCCAACCTTCAACCAAACAAAACTGTTCGTCAAATAACCCAACCATGCGTAACAATGCATTTAAAAGATAACAAAAAAATTAAAACTTTTCAATGGGAAGAATTTATAGTATTAACCTTATCTAGAAGGATATCTCGAAATTGATCAGGATGTAGATGAATATTACTATAGTTTGTCCTTATAGCCTGCAAAACATAAAATTTAAAGCATGAAAAGAGAAGTGGTCCAAGATTACAAGTGATATACTTTTAAATCAATACTTAAAAATTTCATGATATAAGTGATCTCATTATGGTATTCTTTATATCATTTCAATCAATATTTTATGCATCAAGTGAATGAGAAACAAATGGCATTACTATAAATTAGAATATGAGTACTCACCTTAAATTTCAAATAGCCTGATTTTTGCCCTTTTTAATCTTTACTTGAACTCTACTAATCGATCAACTATATTATTCTATTAGATTATGTTAACTTATTTATTTAATCATATCTCTATCCCTATTTACTATTCCTAAATAACTCTCATTTGCTATAAAAGAAAATATCTTTAATCCATTTATTTAAAAATTCAATTAAATGAAATCTCTCATAAATTTAGACTCCTTATTTATTTCTCATTAATCTTTTTACTTAAAGTTTAATCTAATTATTGTTATTTTCTAAATAAAATTCTTTGTTAAGATATTTTGAATTTAATATTACAAAAATATAAACTTCCACCCTTCAACATATATATTCTCTCACAAATTCTCTGTTCTTATTAATTAGATTAATAAATTAAAAATCATACATAAATATTAAATATAATCTTTTTCTAAATACATTCACATATATTAACACTAATCATATATATATATATATATATATATATAAACACTAATCATTGCAATTAAATAATTCTAAATTTATAAATTTTCATCATTAACATATTAAACTTCTCTTTTACGAAATTTAAGCTATATTTTAAATCTAAAATATACTTTTATAAATTGGTTTTTTCTAAATTATAATCTAGATTTAGACAAAATTTTAATAAATAGAAAAAATTACCTTTAACTCCTCAAATCGTCTCTGAGTGTACAAGCTCACCACCAATCACACGAGTCACGAGGCTCTTCAATCTCCCCCTCTTTTGCTCTCACTCGATCTCTATCTCTTGCTATCTCTTTGTTCTCTCTCTCAAAATCTCACGTCTCCCTCTCCTCTCTAATTTATAGTGATGAAGCCCTACAACTCCAAATGGAGTCGACTCGAGCTCCTCTTCATTGCTTCCAAACGACAAAACCTGCTACGCCAAATCAGCATATTCGAGCCCTCCTTCAGCTTCCACAACTCCAATCGATGAAGGCGACAATGACACTAATCGATCAAGAGCAGCCATCCCATTGCTTCCTCGTACATTCCTTCCCCCTCCAGGTAACGGACGCTCCTTGATCTTCCTCGCTTCCTAGTATCGAAATGACGAACTTATCCATCTCCTTCAATATCTTTGACTTCTACGACCCACCAGTTCAGTATCTTACAAATCTTCCCCACTTATAATAATTTTGTCCCATAAATTTACTTATATTTTCTATTTACTATATGTTATTATTAAATAATATAGCTATATACTATCCGGTTGAACTTTTAAATTTCTCACAAATAATTTTCCTTAATTAATTCTATGGCTCTTTCACTATGATTCATATACTATGAAAATCTTTAGCTCTAGTACCACTTTTGTCACGACCTGACCCGAAAGCTCAAATTAATGAGACAGGAACAGATGCATTGAAAGAGTTACTAAAACATCAAATGCATTAAAAAAATATTATAACTAAGTTTAACAATTACCTTTCTCTTCGATTGTCTCTTTTAGACCGGTCCACTGGACCGGTCCAACCAGTCCAGGCAGGACCAGTTCACGAGCGAAATCGCAAAAACAGCGGAGAAAGCTTCTGCTTGGGCGTAAGCCGCGCGAGACGAGCGCCTTGCGGGACAGTTTCGGGAAGGAAATTTGAGGGAGTTTAGGAGGGAAATTGATTGCAGGGATTGTTTAGCGAATTCCTTTTGAATTGTATGCATTAAGTAGTTGATTTTTCTAGGGTTTGGTGCATCTTGAATTTGGCTGAAATTTGAGATCTCTTAGATTTAGGTTTTCTTTGGGCTCTAGCGGCGTCTAGAGATTTGGGAGAGTTCGATCATCCTCTCGAATTGAGGATCAATTGTATCTTTGTTGTTTTATTCATCTACTAGTGAAATACAAGGGTTTTGTTTGGTTTTTTTTTTTCTTAGATTTCTTGTGTAAAATTCCTGTTTTTCTCTGTTTGGGGACTGTTTCCTGCTGTGGACAGCAATATCATTGCTGCAGTTTACTGATTTTGGCTAGGAACACTTGTAAATCCAAGTGTTTCCTATCAAATTGGTATCAGAGCATCGTTTTTGGGACCGTTGCTGGCTGAAATCCTGAAATTTCAACGGGAGTTTCGTTTCCGGAAAAAGATCTTCGTGAATCTTTAGAAGAACGATGGCCGGAAAGAAGGCTAACATCTTGGAAGGCGAAGTTGGCCAATTGAAAGCCGATTTGGAGGAAAGATTCTTCAACCTTCAAAATCAAGTCACCTCCAATAATGAAAGGTTGGAGCGGAAGTTCACCGCAATGAAGGAAATGTTGAAGAAACTACTTGAGATGAAAACAAATCCGGCGACATCGAAAGTAAGAGAGACCGCCGACGGCCATGGCATGAGAGCAAATCCGAACCCCTTGCGGGGGAGGAGAAATTCGGAGGTAGAGATCCTAGAGGAAGAGAACGACATGCCTCCTCTAGAGTCTCTTTCGAGGGAAGAGATGGGTATGGGATATGACAGAAGGTGGCTGATTTTGGTGGGAGGAGAAAGGGATCTCATCGCCGAGGTGCTGAATTTGAAAGAATTTAGCATCGAGGGGGGATTTTAAAGGAAGAATGGAGGAACTTCATCGTCGAGGTACTGAATTTGAAGGTATTCAGCATCGAGGAGATGATGTTGAAGGGAGGAGAGGTGAGTATGAAGAGGGGTTAGAGTATATTCGTCAGAGGGACGATCGGGACAATTGGGGAACGCCTCCTCTAAGGGGAATGGGAGGCTATGGAGGATACCGGGGAGATCCCAAGGTGAGGAAATTAAAGATGCCCGTTTTCGAGGGGGAAGACGACCATGGCTGGATCTACAAGGTGGAGTGTTACTTTGCTGTCAATGGGTTGACAGAGGATGAGAAGCTGACGGCGGCAGGATTGTGTCTGGAAGGAAAGGCTTTGTCATGGTATCAGTGGCGTGACAGGAGGGAGCCTATTAGGAACTGGAGGGAATTCAAAAACTGCATAATAGAACATTTCCAAACCGACCGGGGAGGAGATTTCTATTAGCAATTCTTTGCTCTGGTGCAGGAGGGATCAGTAGCATACTACCGTGAGCGGTTCGAGCACCTAGCTAGTAGGGTGGAGCGATTATCAGATAGCGTATTGGAGGGGAACTTCATGAAGGGGTTGAAGGCAGAGATCCGAGCGGCAGTTAAAGTTCTGATACCTAGTGATTGGAGGAGGCAATGAAGTTGGCACAGCTGGTAGAAAATCAAAATAATCTGGAGAATGGAGCCAGGAGCAGCAGCTCAGGAGGCTCTTACAAGACTACGACCACTCTTTTAGAACTAAAGGGGCCTGCATCAGTCAACAATAATGAGATCACCATGGAGAAGCCAGTAGGAGGAGGGAGTAGGGATAACTTCAAGAAGCTCACTGAGACAGAATTACATGAGAATAGGGCAAAAGGGCTTTGTTTCAGATGTGATGAGAGGTATACGCCGGGGCACAGGTGTAAGGACCGAACTCTTCAAGTTTTTACTATTTGTGATGAAGAAGGAATTGAGGGTTCGTCTTTCCACCTTACGGACAAGGTGGATCTTTGGGAGGGGAGTATTGTTAGGCCGGTCCAACCGGTCCAGGCAGGACCGGTTCACGGGCGAAATCGCAAAAACAACGGAGAAAACTTCCGCCTGGGCGGAAGCCGCGCAAGACGCGCGCCTTGCGGGACGGTTTCGGGAAGGAAATTTGAGGGAGTTTAGGAGGGAAATTGATTGCAGGGACTGTTTAGGGAATTCCTTTTGAACTGTATGCATTAAGTACTTGATTTTTCTAGGGTTTGGGGCATCTTGAATTTGGCTGAAATTTAAGATCTCTTAGATTTAGGTTTTCTTTGGGCTCTAGTGGCGTCTAGAGATTTGGGAGAGTTCGATCCTCCTCTCAAATTGAGGATCAATTGTATCTTTGTTGTTTTATTCATCTACTAGTGAAATACAAGGGTTTTGTTTGTTTTTTTTCTCAGATTTCTCGTGTAAAACTCCTGTTTTACTCTATTTTGGGGCTGTTTCCTGCTGTGGAAAGCAATATCATCGCTGCAGTTTACTGATTTTGGCTAGGAACACTTGTGAATCCAAATGTTTCCTATCAGTCTCTTCTAAAATACACGTTGTTCTCATCAACTCAATTAATCTCTATAGACAATACATGTAAATAATTTTGCAAATAAGAGTGAGTCACAACTTAGTGAGCCCATTATATTTCTAAATTATAATAATACAAGGTATTTGGGTTAAAATGCATATTTGTTGTAAACTATAACGTAATTTTATTTAATATCCTTAAAATTTGAAAATGTTCATAGATCATATTATATACATCATATCATTACAAAAACGATAACTAAGTTTATTTACAATTATTCTTGGGATTTGGCTCTTACAAGAAAATTTTCAAAGAAAGAAATTTTGAGCCAGTAGCAACAAGATTTGCCACTGCTTAGTTGACATTATAGAGTATATTGGATGCTAGATAACCTGTGGAGTCTATGTTTACCTCCACACAGTGGTTGAATTGTACAAGGGAAAAAAACCTCAAAAAAGAGGTAAGAAATTTTGTTTTAAATGACAAATTTTGACAAAGCGTCCTGTACGCCATTACAAAAACTAGATCATTATTACAAGTTCTAAGGAAGGTGGATGTAGAGAAGAAGCCTGCTCTGGGTTTCATCTGCAATGCTATAGATGAACCAAAAGAAATGATTGCCTGCAACTTAGGCAGTGAAAAGGGAAGCTACAGGAAAATTTGAAATATTATTAATGATATGTGAGAGCTACAGCATCACCGACACTTGCATGCAACAGGCTATTACTTAAACCTTCAGTGTCAATATGCAGAGAATAAGTCTACAAATCTTAAGATAAAATTTGGATCTCATCAATGAATGGACAGACAGATAGGAGATGTAACTAAAAGATCAAATGTTGACGAGCAACTGGTACATTTAAGGAATAAAGAATATTTTACTAGATTACAACAGGCAAAAGACACTATTTCCAAACTATCTCCAAATAATTTCATTTGTTATTTTACTCATTTATTAAAATGTTGTTCTTTGAGTACCGACTGTATTTATTTAATGTAAATCTTAGTTAAGCAGTGAATTCAATTTTGTGATAGCACTCCAGAATTGTAGTGTTTCGCTATGAATGTTTTGGGATTAACATGCTCTTCATCTGGATGTGAATCGAATTGGAGCACCTATAGCCAAGTGCATACAAAGAGGAGAAATTGTTTGTCAATATTGAGGATGAATTTGCTAGTGTACATTATGTACAATAGGAGACTCAGAGACAGGAACTTGAAGGAAAAAGGGTTAAGGGATGACGAAGATCCTTTGATTTGTGAGGATATGACATATGATAACGAGTGGTTTGTAGATGATAAAGTGTAGGTGATGTCTCTTGAATTACGAGAGGAAAATTTAAATGTTAATTTCTTTGAAGGTCATTGAGCATCTACATCCACTAAAACTTAAGAACAAACCGAAAAAATGTATATAAATAACATAGTTTTTAAACTTAACTTTTCTTAATGTATTACTCATCTTTATATTGTTCAAAAATATTTAGGGAAGAGAAAGATAACTAATATAAAGTAAAAAGAAGCTGGTTAGGAGACATTGGACTCTATAGGAGATGATGAAGGGGAGAGAGCAGTTTATCATAATGATTATTCAAATGAAGACCCCCTTAGTGATGATATCGTTGATGACTTCTGTGTTATGTCATTGCTATTTATTTTTTGAATTCAATATTAATGAACAGGATATTGGGATTTAGTAAAGATAGAATTTTGAGTTGAACTATATTTTATGTTGTCTTATTAATGTGTTTTTTTTTGTTATATATATATATATATATATATATATATATATATAATGATAATTTATTTCTTATGTCAACTTTTAATATATAATTAGAGATTAGTCATTAGTACAAAAAAAATTTTTCATTATGATTTTACGCAATTTTTGGATTTGAAGGCTTATGCCTCAAAACACTGAGGCTTACGCATCGCCTCACGAAAGAAAAATGTCTCAATACCTAATTGCACAATTTTAAACCTTGATCTTAAATATACTTTTTATGCATTTTTTTCTAAATTAAAATATAAATTTAGAAAAAAATTTAATAATTAGAAAATTACATTTGACTGCTCAAATCGTCTCGAATGAATAAGCTCACCTTCGATCTTGTGAGACCATTCAATTTTGCCCTCTTTAGCTCTCACGCGCTCTCTATCTCCTGCTATCAAATTCTCTCTTTTTCTCCCGGTCTCACTTCGTATCCCTCTCCTCTCTAATTTATAGTGATGAAGCCCTACGACTCGAAACGAAGGAGTCGAACCAAGCTCCTTGTCTTCCTTGTTTTCAAACGAAAAAGCCCGCTATGAAAAATTGGTGTATTAGAGCTCTCCTTCAACTTCCGTGACTCCAATAAAAGAAGGCGATAGTACGAGCGTAGCCATCCCTTCACTTCCCTGTACATTCCTTCCTCCTCCAAGTAATGGATGCTCCTTTATTTTGCTTCCTAGCATAGAAACGATGTTCCTCCATCTTCTTCGACTTCTTCAACTTCTACGACTAGTCGGTTCAGGATCTTAATAGTTGAGCTTTGATCGATTCTAGATTATTAAGAGTTTGGCTGAGCAATTATAGATGAATAATCTTAGTTGTTTGGCTTATTGTCTAACTTGATAATCTTAGTCTAACATCTATTGCTATTATAGAAATTGATTGATCAATACCAATTAAGGTATATGCAGTAATAGATGGTCAATAGTTCAGGTCATTGTGATGAAAGAGGATTTTCTCCTTTGAAAAGTCTTCTTCTTATCAATTTACATATAACTCACTTTCCACCTGCCTAATCTACAACAAACTTTCACCTCTTTAATCTCACACTAGCTTGGTCAATCAGCACAACCAAACCTTTTCTAGCATCCCTATCTTTAGTTGGGTCATAACTTCAACCACACATAAACTCATCGAGTAACCCCATAAATGTGAGATGCATTTCCATTGTTCAAACTCAAAAATAGCCACTAACTATTTCCATCAATTTTCAATTTGATGTTGAATTTATATTTATTAAATTAATTATTTCAACGGAAATATTAATGTTTTTTTTCTTTTTGATTTGCTTTATATTAGGAGTTTTTATTAGAATATTTTCCCCTTGGATGATAATATTCAATTAAGGATTTAAATTGGTTCAAATTGAAAGTAAATATTAGAAGTTTACATTCTTTTGTTTGTGGAATTGCAGCAGCTTGTCTTAAAATTACTTCAGATATGATAGGTAAAAAATAAACAGATCAATTCATTGCAGAAAGAAGTTGGTACAACTACCAATAAGCATTGTCAGCTTGCTAAACATAAAAACACAGATCTGCTTTTAATATCACCTCTCAAAGTCAAATTAATAATACAGATGTAATATGTAAAAATAGGTTATCATCACCTCAGACAGTCGTCGGTATCTTTTATAAGATTCCCAAGGCTGAGACTCCAACAAAAGAACTCCACCCTTCAAGGAAAAGTCAAAATAATTTAAAGCCCTAAAATAAAATATAATTTGACAGACATAAAAAAGAAATTTTAATTACTGGTTTAAGAAGCCTCCATATCTTTGAAAATAATGCCAGCAGTCCACTATCACCCCAATTCAAATGGATCCACTTTGTCACACTCAGACTGCAAGATCTAAAGCAATTAGTATATTTAGGACATTAATGGGCTATAATGAGAAAAGAAAAAAGGCTAAAAAGTTTTATGTAGAACAAATAAGAAAAAAATTTCATCAGAAAAGAAAAAAAAAAGTTTTGTAGAATAAATCATAAAGGAACTGGACATTTTTCAACCTGATTGAACTTACCAAAGAATTGCATGAAACTTCTGGGGGCAGACATTCATATTTTCAACGAAGTTTTCACAATGAAATGAAACTCTTTGGAGAAGATCATGTTCTCTAGGATGAGAAGGGTAACATTGAGTGTACAAAATTTCCTCATTCGAACTTTGAGAAACATTGCGCTCATACAAAGCTCCACTATTTAAGCCCTCTGGAAATGAACCCCTGGCCAAAATATCCTGAGATTGTTTTTTTCTAACTGTATTTCGTAGGTTACATTTAGCATCATCGATGAGTCCTGAAAAATGGAGAAAAAAAGTTTCTGCTTGAAACAAGCACTCCAAATCCATCCACTACCATTATTCAATTTACATTTACTGGTCTATAGAATGTTTCAATCATATGATTAACCTTCATTTTAAGCTAAAATATCGATAGACAAAGCATTAGGCATTATATATTTACATCATCAAGCAATGGGTCAAAAAGTGTTAGATGAAATAATAATCTTCAGTACGTAAGTAAAAATAGAAGAAAAAAAAAACATAGATGAAAAATAAAATTTATCAACAAGCAATGATAAAAAAGAATGATTAAAGAAAATTACTGGTGTAAATTGAAGAATATGAAAGAATTGATGCGTCGAAAGTTTCGAGAACAATTTTGTTCAAAATCACATATTTACCAGAAGCTTAAGGGCCCGGTCAATGACTATGGTTAAGCATGTAGTTTTCTGCAATGTATAAAATTCACCTATTTATAGGGAAGAAATTTTCACCTATTTATAGGGAAGAAAATTACTGGGAGTATAGTAGTACAAAAGAGCGAGAAGAGGAAGGGAAGAAGTTTTCAAATGGCAGAGTTTTGTCTCGGTGCTTAGTGCCATTCCAATGTATAAAATTCACCTATTTATAGGAGGCAAAGTGCTCTGACTGCCAATGACAATGGTTAAGCATGTGGAGCAACAAGGGCTAAGATACTTTGAACAGCATGGACACATATCAAGCTGGTATACAACAAGGGATAAGCTTCTTAGAATAGCACGGACACATATGAGTTAGTATACAACAATGAGCACTTCCATGCAATCCAGTTTGGCAAGTCATGGAAAGTTGAGTGAGTTGCCTGGCATGGTAACCTCTCAAACTGTGATCAAACTACCCATAGAAAAATACAACTTACAAGAATTAAGTAGTGGGAAGGTCAAAACTTCTATGAAGTGTAATGATGTATGCTTAAGCTATAGCAGCAACAACGATCATTGAAGGCTTTAAGGGAAAAGGTTAGTATAGCAAAAACAAACAAGGTCGATAGCCATGTGGATGAAAGAAAACAAAAGAGCCTGGTTGGCAAAATAGCGCATAAGACAATGGGTGGATACTAATCAGATAAAGCTGGTTATGCAACAAATTTATCCTGACAGATGATTATCAATAGGACAAGATGATGTGACAATAAATACAAAGACTAAAAAAAAGCTAAAAAAAAAGAAAAAAATGCCTGAAACTAAAGTTTATTCGGTCTACCATGTTGAGCTAGAAAAAGTGCAACATACAATGGTGCTAATAAGTAGGTGTCGATAAAAAGGAGAGTGGTGGGCCCACCTAAATGTCCTGTAAGGATGCCTTATTTGGAGAGGTTGGCCATTATCTTTAGTGTATTATTAGGAAAGTAAACAAGGAGGGAGGCACTGTCAGGCCTTTAGAACTTTTTGTACGTGACTTCATGAATGGCAAGGGTTCGGAGAGGGTGATTTAGCCTCTAAATGACTTGACGTTAATTTTCCTATGATTGAGGCGCCAAAGGAGATGGATTATCTCGTGGGAGGAGGGGAGTTTGTAAGTGGGTAGGTGCATGAATAAGTGAGACGCCAAATAACTCAACAATATATGGTGCCAAAAGATGACAAAGTGGCCTAAGAAGACATGGCTTCCCATGATTCCCTCGCGCCGTTAAAAGGCCGAAAGGGGGAAGGTCTTCGCTCTCTCTTCCCCACCCCCCCGCCCCCTCGCGTGCTCCTTCGACTCTTCCATCGCTGCTCGACTTCGTTTCTTCGACGACTTTCACTTCCGCCGGATCGGAAGTTACGACGTTTAATCATAAGCAACAACGGGAGCTCACATACAGTCAATGTTTAAAATTGCGTATTCGGGTATTAAGGCGTTTTTCATTCGTGAGGCGAGGCGTAAGCCTCAAGGCGTTTTGAGGCGTAAGCCTCAAAATCAAAAGATTGCGTAAACATAAAATGATAAATTTGTTATATATTAATGAGTGAATAATATAAAACATAAAAAAGTATAAGATATGAAGTGAAATCAAAATATCTCAATAATAAGACAACATGAAATATAGTTCAACTCAAAATTCTATCTTTCCGAAATCCCAGTATTCTTTTCATTAACATATAATTCCGATTTCCAAAAATAAATAGCAATGACATATCACATAAGAACTTATAAGTCATCAGCACTGTCATCACTAAGGGGTTCATTTGAATCATCATTATGGTGAACTGCTCTCTCCCCTTCCTCCTCTCCTATAGAGTCCAATGTCAGGCATTTACTTTAAGATTTATGTAAGTTTTAATATATATATATACCGGCGGTGGAAGAGGCTCGTGGCACGAGGTAGGAGGGCAAGCATTTTTAATTAATGATAACCAATTATTTAATTATAATTAAGTGTTGGTTATATTTAATTATAATTAATATTATTTAATTATAATAAATTATAACTAAAATAATTAAATAATTAATTAAAATTAATTATAATTAACTATTTGATTATAACTAATTTATTAATTATAATTAATTATAATTAGTTATGTCTAATTATAATCAATAATAATTAATAAAAATTAATGATAATTAATAATTAAATATAATTAAAAATAACTAATAATATTTAATTATAATTAATATAATTAATAATTAATTATAATTAAAAAATAATTATTAAATTAATTATAATTAATATTAGTTAATAAATAAAATTAACAAAAATAAACTCTCCCTCTCACTCTCTCTAGTTCGGCCAACTGACGGGATTTGGCCGGAGAAGAGCCCGAAAGGTAGGAAGTTACCTTCACACCAGCGAGCTCCCTGTTGCTGCTTCCGATCAAATGCAGTAACTTCCGATTGAACAGGAAGGAAACTTCGTCGAAGCAGCGAAGTCAAGCAGCCAGAAAGGAGCCAAAGAAGCGACCGGCAGGGAGAAAGTTACCGTCCCAGCAAGCGAGCTCCAGTTCCTTGCTTCCGATCGAAATGGTCGTAACTTCCGGCCGAACAGGAAGGGCAAGCCGTCGAAGGAGCACAGTCGAACAGCCAGAGGGAGCCGGAGGAGTGCGCGAAAGGTAGACAGTTGTCTTCACAACCGGCGAACTCCCGAATTGCTTCCGATCAAACTGTCGTAACGTCCGATCCGACTGGAAGGACGAGTCGTCGAAGGAGCTACGTCGAACAGCCACTGAGGAGTCGGAGGAGAGAATGAGAGCTTGCGGGGAAATGAGCAGAGGATTCGGGAGAAGAGAGGAAAAAAAAAAAGCCCTTTTGCTTCGTTTCCTCTGCCATTTAACGACTCGATCGAGTCGTGTAGACGACGTGCGAGGATACGACTTTGATTGCGGCGACGACGTGCGAACGTCGTGGGATGGCAGCGAGGTACGCACGATTTTTTTCTTTTGTTTTTTCGGTACAGCAGATGGGTCAACATAAATATAAGTTCTCCAACTATTCCAAATGCCCATGTTGCTACTATATGTCGAATACCGCATATTCAAGGGTATGACATATTCATCGACGATTAGTCTTAATCGAAAGTTCTCTCTCGTGATGGAGATGGGTAATTAACTATAGGATATTGCGCCTATAGGAAACCACGACTCAGATCATAAAATCCTCGCAAAATGAGGGCGAAATCTCTGGGCAGCATCTTATCTAAAAACCCATCTGTCTTCCCAAAATTTACCACGGAACTTAATCGTTTAAAACTCCCTTGCCGAAGAAAAGCACAGCGGGCGGAGACTGGAGCCGAATTTTTGGAGCCCACATCAGTTTACCTTATCATAGCCAATATAGAATTCTAATCATATTATTTGTGCTACCTTTAGTGGAGTTTGAAGTAATTTTGAGTATGAATTGGTTGGTCAAATACTTTGCAACTATTGAATGTTGGAATAAAAGAGTCAAATTCAATTTAACAGGAGTTGAGGTATTTTACTTACAGTGTGAGAAATAAGTAATTTCATCTTTGACTATTTATAGTCAAGTGAACAAAAGTATGAGATCTGGCGAATTCAATTTCTTCGCAAAGTTAGAAGCTAGCAAAGGGACAAAATGGATGATATAAATTCTATTCCTCTGGTGAATAAATTTGTAGATATTTTTCAGGTTTCAGGAAGAGTTGGATAGTTTGCCTTCAGAGAGAGAAGTAAAATTTATAATAAATATTCAACTAGGAACAAACCCGATTATAAAAACACCTTACCAAAGATAACCAAAGAGTTATAATAAGTAAAAAGTGAGTTAGCAGAACTAATTGAAAAGAGCTTTATCAGACACAATATATCTCCTTAGAGTGCACCAATGTGTTTATTAAGAAGGATGATTTGATGTGGCTTTGTGTTGATTGCATGGAGTTGAGTAAGGTGACCATTAAAAACAAATACTCCTCCCTAGGATTAATGATTTATTTGATCAACTAGTAGGAGCTTCTATATTTTCAAGAATTAATTTGAGATCTAGATATTATAAGTCATAATGAAAGAAAGAAATATTGAGAAGACAGTTTTTGGTACCATGGGTTGTTGACCTATGCATAAGCAAACAAAAAGAGATTATATATAAAATTACATGTTCCATGCGACCCATTCTGAACCCCTGTCGAAGCCCATGCCGCTGTCTGCTACACTCTCGTCTCTCTAAAAACAGCGCTAAACAATCACATCTCCCACGTGTGAAAATCTCTCCCATTTGCGTCTTTAAAACTAAGAGGAGATGGAGTCCGCTTCTTCCTCTATCATTCGCAAACCCTCTGAATCCCTTACCTCTTGCTTCTTCCGACCAAATCCCGAGACCTCAACCTAAAATCTCGATCGCAAGCTTTCGTCGACACTTTTCCTCCCTCAATATTCAAGCCGTGAACTTCCTCCGCCTACTTTGACCAGGCCATCGAGCCACCATAGAAGCCAACGCCCTTTTTCTTCCCCTAATCAATTGGACCTCTATTATGATCTCCAACCACCTAACAAGCTGACGCCAAACTCCCTCTTGCATTCACAACATACCTTGTCGACCGTCACCCTCCCCTTCCAACTTCGCGACCAAATAAAGCTGAAGATCCCACCAACCTCCCACTGCAGCCGACTTAACCCAATAGCTCCCTTCCGACCTCCCTATTGAACCGAGCAGCTCCTGCCCGATCTCCACTTGCCGCAATCATCTACTGAAGCCGATTGATCTAACCTCTTCACTTAGAAAGCAGTCCGTAACCTTCTCCCTCAACCAAACAAATCCCAACCTTAGGAATACATCTTACTATTATTATTATTTTGTTATTAAGTGTTGTTAATTATTATAACTATAATTATAATTATAATTATTACTAATACTAGTGTATCTACTGCGCATATTAGTATATTAATATATCATTATATATTTACTATTTACTATATATATATATATATATATATAAAAATAAGAGGAAAAAAAAGAAAGTATGAGAAAAAAATTCAAAAAAAAGAAATAAAAAATTAGAGAAAAAAGAAAATCCAAAAATAGAAGGGAGAGGGGGATCCTTTTTGTTCGTTTCACTCAAAATCCCGCTCTCGGCTTTTAAGTCGAGCTGGAGGACACCTATACATGCTCTCGTAACAGGGTAGTAGGGAATTCGGTGCATCATATACAACGAGGCGACTAGGCCCTATACACGGTCTTGTAGTGTGGTGGGGACAATTTAAAGTACCCGTACTCGACTTTGTACCTACGGGGAAAGAAAATTGTGTTTTTCTTATGCAAGTGTTTTGGAGCCCCCATACAAGCTCTTGTATCGGTCGGATGAAAAGATGTACAGCCCGGTGTCCCCCAACACCTACCATATACGCTCTAGTAGCGTGGTGTGATAGCCCAGTTTCCCGTAATTTCACCTAAATGAGAAAGACGTCGGGAGGCTGCCGAAAATTCTAGTGAACTTGGACTTGAATTTGGACCTGAACTTGAACTCGAACTGAACAAGGACTTGAACTTATTAATTGAACACAAGGGACCTAAATAAACTATAGTAAACTTGAACTCAAAATGAGTAGGAACTTGTGGACATTGAATTTCAATGAACATTTATAGATGACTCGAACTGAATAATAGTGCACTTGGTGCACCTATCGAATAGTAAGGAACTTGGACTTGATTGAGCAATAGTGGACTTGTGAACTTGAATCTGAACATAATAGACAATCAAGAAGAACTTGATTTGAATAACGACTACAAGGATTCAAATAAACATAGAAAGAACTTGAACTCATATTGAATACGAGCTTGAACCAAATGCCATTGCATAGAACTTGAATTTAAGCATTGAAAGACAAGGAATTCAAGTCGCAAGGGATTTGATTTGAATAAAATACAAGAGTGTTTGTAAGCAAGCACTAAGAGTGAAGTGCAATCTAATTACAAGCAAAGACATGAATGGATACTACATATCATATGAGGATGATTAATTATGACATTTGCCAACCATGCAAGCAAACGCGCAAGGACTTATGTTGAAAGCCCTATATACATGATCTGTTTGTAGGAAAATAAACAGTGAAGATATTGACTTGTTCACAGGAAGCAATGGCAATTTCATTTGCAAATCATCTAGCAACATAACAAAAAGGCAAGTGATGTATACAATAGGTTGCTTGCAAGTGATAACTAAGATATATGATGAATACAATAATCTCCATGAGGTCAAACTCTGCTTACAAACCAATTAATACACAGCCTGCAAGCAGAGGACAACACACTTGTAATACATGTGGGTGGGTCTTATGTAGCGCTATGGGAGATTAACCATACATACAACACCTGACCTACAAATAGAAAGAAATGTTGGTAGCAGTTGTCAGGAATATATGCAACGAATGTAACAAGTTGCAATGCACACAGTACATCGTATAAGGGCAAGAATTTTTACATTTGCAATGCATACAAAGTCCCTACAAGCGACACTATAAGAGTTGTGATGAATACAAATGTCTGTAAACAATATTAGAAGACTTATATTCCCTGCAACTTGCTTGTAAAAAATAAAGTCTCTTGCAAACATGCAAATGCAGCATGTAACAAAACACTGGGATATTCATGTAGAGAATACATCGGTATCTTACAAGCAGTAGTAGAAGATCTGCATCAACACAGCTCGAACATGAGTGAAAGCAGAGAGTTGGCAAGAATAAAAGAATGTAACAAATGTGAATACCCATTAACAATAGTGGAAGGTTTGTTATATACATAATAACACATCTACAAGTGTCATACAGGTGTTAGCCAACAATAGGTCGTAGTTGTTACAACACTAATACGAGCAACCTCTGTTCAATAGCCAACAAATACACTGATCTTCTGCAAACCAAGGGCAGATGATATATAGCAAATGCAAATGTCCACGGGCTCTTGTAGGAAACCCGCTACATGCTCAAAATATCATCTATGAATAAAATTCCAAATGATTATGGAGAATGTGAGTCCCTACAGGCCACTATAGAAGACTCATTGTGTACTCGACATGACGTCTGAGGGCGAACATAGAGATATTATGACAAATACAAGCTTCTACGATACGGCGTAAAAGGCTTGTCATATGTTATAAAAAATGCCCCCACACATGCACCGTAATTTGTATACACATAGGTACACAAAATGGCATATACAATCACAAAACATGCATGGGACCTGGGGAGCATGTTGTAGGAACACACGTGATGTCTAGGGATGCTTCGCGGGTCAATAAATTTGAATATGATCCCCTAAACAAGAAAATAGGAGTAGACAAGGTTCAACAAATAATTATAAATGCCACCAAAAACCCGCATAGGCTCCTGAGAGCGTGTTATGGGCACAAATGTGATGCAGGTCAATAAATCAAACACAATTTGAGCCTAATCTACCAATATAGATAGATAAGAATCGACACGGCTCGAAATATCAATCAGATATACGGTCAAGGCATTGACCGGAATATATATTTTATATGTTCATATAAAGCCTTCAAGGTCTATGACAAACGAAATTCATTAAATAAAATCATACAGCTGACGAACCCAATCCCTATCGGCAAGTTAATAGGGTCGACAAGGTTTAGTTAATGAAAATGTCTAGACACCCCGATGATGGTCATGTTGAACGTAGATCTCAACCAGATGGGTTAATTTTAAATATTTAAATGCCTTCAAACTTTCACAAAATTCAAATTCTTACAAAAATAAAAATTACTTTAATGCCACCCCGATGATGGCTGCATTGAACGAAAATCTCAACTGGATGGGCTAATTCAAAATATTTTAAAATGTCATCCCAAATACCTGAAAATCCAAAAATCTTGAAATCATCCAATCTCAAAATATTTAAAAATGAAAATTAATATTCAATAACTTAAAACAAAATCCATCCACCCTTCGCAATCGTTTGTCGAGATAGACAAATTGAAATTTACTTCAGCTCACATTGAGTTAATACCTAGTCAAAATATCACTATAATCTATTCTCAAATAATCTCCTGCCAGTAAGGACATGGTACGTTTCCTCTCCCCGGCGGTTTTGCAGCCAAACGGCACCGCAGGATAAACGATTAAGACCCAGGGCCCTCTGAACCAAGAGGTTTTGTTGCCAAATGGCATCAATAAATTACGGTTATGGCCAGAGTGAATATGTTCTATAGTGGCATCAAATCATTGAGAAATGAATCAATAGGATATGATCAATAGGGCACAAAGTTTTCTGTTAGCTAAGGTGGATTCAAATTTGCCCCATTAAACAAATATCCACCCTAGGTCTATAAGGTATACTTGGACGAAGCAACGCATGGCTGCTGACAAGGATCCTTCGTCAGATTGGATCGACTACCTCCTCTCACTATGTAGACCAGCGACCACAATGGCCCGAGGCGACAAAACCATGGGATCTTGATCTAGTCTATCATCCATTCCCCCACCATCCGCTTTAACTGCAAGATGGTCAAATTTTCAACTTTGAATATCAAACCTTGAACTTCTAATCCTCAAGCCTATGCTGTTACTATATGTCAGATAACACGTATTTCTACATATCTGATTAACGACTAGCCTTAATCTAAAGTTCTCTCTTGTGATCGAGAGGGGTAATTAACTATACAGTCTTGTGTCTATCAAAAACCAGAACTTATATCATAAAATTCTCACAAAATGAGGGCAAAATCTCTGGGTAGTATATTATCTACAAACTCATCTTCCTTCCAAAATTTACCCCGGAACTTAATTCCGTTAAAACCCCCATTGAAAAACGAAGCAAGGGAGGCCGGGGCCAAATTTTTGGAGCCCGTATGGGCAATATAAATTTTTTGTTATGTGACGACACAGCTTGGATACTCGAACTAACGAGGAGAATACAAACAGTCGGACAGTTATAACATTTTTTTTTATTCTAAAACAATTTATCATCCACATTTCAAATAAAAACCGAAGAGCCACTAACACAATTTCCATCAAACTACTAATACACATTTTTGCGTCTGCATAAATTAATTATTACCTATTTTCATTTGTGAGCCGTCTTCTGTAGACACTCCTCTCTTCAGCCATTCTACTTCCCTGGAAACTTGCAAGAAAATTTTTATATAACGAGTTGAGTTTACATGGTAAACTCAATGCATAATTACCATTGCTCAAATAACCTTCAAACATATATAAGATGCAATGCATATTCTTTTCTCATTTCTCATATCTTCTTCTTTCTCTCTCAAATCTCTCTTTTTCTTTCTCAATTATTTCTTTTGTCTTCTTTTAAGATAATTAATACTTTCATAATATTAAATCACATAAGAGATGTGCAAAAAATGAATAAATTTTGAAAACATACCTTCCTTCTCCTTCTCTTTCTCTCTTTCATCCTCTATTCACTTTTCATTCGTTTGACTCCACAGGAGCGAGTGAAATGGATCTATATCTCACGAGTAGTTATTTTTCTCCCTCGTACATGCATACGGTTTGATCAGCTTGCACCCTGCTCCCGCTCCGTCCGTCTATGCCTATTTTATTAACTCGCAGGTTCACTTGAACCGGCCAGACCGCTTCTTGCATGTTATGTCATTTAGATTGACAAATGCCCTAATAGTATTTATGGATATGATGAATAGAATTTTCAGGCCTTATATTGATCAGTTGCAATTGTTATTATTGATGATATTTTGGTTTCTTCTAAAAATGATGAAGAGCATGCACATCACTTGAGAATTGTTATGGGATTACTGAGACAACATAAATTATTTGTTAAATTTTCTAAATATGAGTTTTGGTTGAGAAAAATTTCTTTCTTGGGGCACATTATTAGTGGTGAAGGCATATTAATAGAACAAGAAAAGATGAATGCAATTGTAGAATGGCAAAGACCAAGTAATATGACCAAAGTTAGGAGCTTTTTAGGATTAATAGGTTATTACATAAAATTTGTAAAGAATTTTTTATCAAATTATTTTGCCTTTATTGACACCAAAGAATATTAAATTTAAATGGACTGATGAATGTGAGCAAAACATTCTATAAATTAAAAAAGTTTTTAACACCGACACCAGTATTAACAATTCCATCTGAAATTAAGGGATTCCAATTATACAGTGATGGTTTTTTTTTAAAGGATAGGTTGTGTTTAATGCAAAATGAAAAGGCGATTACATATGCTTCTAGACAATTAAAGTCTTATGAAAAAATTATCCCACACAACTTCGAATTGGTTGCAATTGTCTATGCTTAAAATTTTTGAAGGCTTTACTTATATGAGGTGAGATGCGAAAATATTACATAAAAGAAAAAGTAATAGATTAATCAAAATCAAATGCAATGTATCAGATGAAAGATCAAAACATCATACCTTTATCTATATCTATTCCAACTATGCTTCGGCAAAAAAACTTTTTTGCTGCACAGAAAAAAGGATTCAGTCAAGACCGAAGTATAAAAAACATTATATTGAAATCACAATCACAGTGATAAAGGAATAAAAGTGGGGAAACAGTACAGATGCTTCATTGAAAAACGTATGCAGTGATATCGTGCAAGAAATTTAGTCAAAAAAAGAGGAAGTCCAAAAATGAAAGTGAATGGAACAACTAATTTACATGAAAGTAAGCTTGTCCCTAACTATTTTATGTGCAACTAAGGAAACATTCTTCACCTCTTAGTCATGTTAAGAATTTCATACCAAAATGAGGATCAGCTAAAACCGTTTAGCATAAACCATCTTTTTTTTTTTTTTTGGAAAGAAATGCAAATAGCATTAAATGAAATGAAAAGTAATTACAAACTACTAAGTGATAGAGATTCTATCACATTCCTCCTTTAAAATTTTAAAAAATAAAGGAGGAACCTTATTGCTACTAAGATCTTCCCAAAGAAAATCACCACTCAAAGCAAAGTTAGCTCAAGAATGAGCTAACTTATTACATTCCCTATTAACAAAATGGAAAAGAATGTTACCGAAGTCATCCAAAAAAGAGAGGTCTTCAAACTCTTCTTCATGTACAATCTGAGATCCTTTATTCACAGATTTTTGCAAATACTTGATGATGTTGATATTATCCCCTTCAATAATAATTACCTTTGCTTCTAACATCCAATCAAAGATGAAATTCTTCAATGCACGAAAAGCCATCAGCTCCAACGATCCATTATCCCAATGAGAGCAATTGAATCCAAAGGCAAGTAAGAATCTACCATTAGAATCTCTAAAGATTGCACCAAAGCCTCCATTATTGGATCTAGCTAAAGCCGCATCTACATTAACCTTAATCCATTCTGGGGGAGGAGGGTGCCAATGAGTAATTAGCCATGACGGCTGGTTAGGGCCCAGTGATCCAAGAATATATTAGAATTTGAAATTGATGCATAACTAATAGCATTGGAGGCTATATAGTTCAAACTTAGTTCTTGTTTTCCATGCTTGATTAAATTTCTACTCTTCCAGGAGAAATATACTAGGGAACAATATAAATTTGCAATGGATTTATTGTTCACAGCTAACCTTTTCAAATGCAACTTGCAGCCACTGGCTAAGGAAAAAACCAGAAAAATGAATCCCCAATCCTTAAGCACACGAATAGCTTGTTGCAGCTTTGAACAGTGAAACATAACATGATCAGAATTTTCTGGTTAATTACATCCTCTAGGACATAAACAACGTCCCAATAATCTTCGATACATCAGAAATCTATTTGTCGGTATAGCATCATTTAAAAGCCTCCACCAAAAACATTCAATTCTAGGATTGAGATGTATTTTTTTCAGCCAGCTTCCATAATCTACTAACACGTCATCTTTATCACAAGAAGAAGAAGCCATAGCTGCTATGCTCTTGCCCGAGAATCTCGGTCTCAATTCCAAGATATCCTTGTTTTGATTTGGGAAAATTTCAATTTGGATAATGATCTCCACTAAAGCCTTCCCAAAAAAAGTGTTTAGGTCTATCTTCCAAAACCCATCTGAAATAAAGTTCTCCATAAATGGAAATTCAAAATTCCCTACCGCAATAAATGTAGGCCACTTCTCTAGACATCTATCTAGAATCCACACGTCTTTAAGAATGTCAATAGATTTTCCTGTTGTAATCTTCCACTTTGTGATTGGAATAAGAGCCTGAGCACCATTAGCAAAGATCTTCCAAGTAGAAGATTTATTAGATTTGTTAGTTTGTTCCCAGAATTTAGTACCATACTTTGCCAACATAGCTTTATTAAGCAAAGAGTCTTCTTCCTTTAAGAAATTCCATGTGAATTTTGCTCTAAGTGATCCAGTCATAGAACTCACCGAACGTAAGCCTTGACCCCCTTCCTTCCAGGCCTTGCACATGATCTCCCAAGACATATAGTGTAGGCCATGAAGCCCTCCTTGTCTATCCCTAATGAAGTTCCTAGCTGCTTTATCCAATTCTTTAAGAATATTCATTGGAACCAATGAGTGAGTGGCCACAAAAACCGGTAATGCAGATAAAACCGACTTAACAAGTACAACTCTCCCAGCAAGAGAAAAGCATAGACCATATTAGCGCCTATATTTGATGTGCCAAAACCATCTTCGCCTATATTTGACCATCCTATTATCAAAGTATACTACCACACAGGATCTTAATTCCATATAATCCCCAGAATTTATCCCTCTTATTGTAAGGTTAAATCATAATATTAAACATCCATTTAAATCCTTACAAGCAAGAATTTATAGGCTGAAATTTTGAAAAGTAATGCAAAAAAGATCCCAGCAAAGATGCCAACTGTTATTAAGTCTCCTAATGTGGTTCCATTGATACCAACTCTTAGCAAGCTGTCCCCACATTTAAGAGCAGTTTTAACCTTGAGAATAGACATCCATTCGCTATTATAACCAAACCAGCATTACGGAAATACAAAGACTTTTTGGCTGGCCATGTCACCCAACACCACGCATATGATAATCATGGTTCCAACCCACATAGAGACATTGTTTACCATTTTCAATTCGCAATACCCAGCAGCATAACCGAAAGGCCAAAGCAAAATTTATTGAATGCAGCTACTCGCTTTCAAAAATGCCATGCTGATCCGAAATTAAAACTAAGTGTGTGGCAGGCCTATGGAAACGAATGGCAAGACAAGGAAATTAGATTTTCTACGGAATACGTACCATGAGGGATAATGCTTTTCTCACTGTTTTCTGGATATAAATATTAATTATCCTATATATATATATATATATATATATATTAATTATCCTAGATGTTCTTAAGTAGGGAAAAACAACAATTTAACCAAGTATTGGAACAAATTCAAATGACTGGTATGGTGTTCGATTGACTCTCTGGCAACAAGAGTTGAAGGTTCGCACATGCAGGAGTTACAAATGCAGATTGAATTCCAGGGGCTGTAGGGAATAATGCTAGGGGGGGTAATATTTGACAAGCCCCAAAAACTTGAGCCCAACCCAACTCAAAAGTTCCAGGTTCGGGTCAACCTGTTTTAAAAATGGGTCGATTTTGGGTTCCAAAAACCAACATGTTTCTAATTTCAGGATGGATACGGGTTAACCTGAAAACCCGATATCAACCCAAAAATGACTTGGGTCCGGATCAGGATCGATCTCCGCCTCCACTCGCCTGGCAAATCTCGATCGCCAAGAACTCGCAGGTTGCGCTAGCCTTCATCCCCCTCGTTGTTTGCGCTCATTGTGCACGGAAAGATGCTGAGACGCACCTGCTAGTAAAGAGATAGGAACTCGCGACTCGCCTCACCCGCTCACACGTGTGCGCATATCACCTCACCCGCTGGCCCTGCTCACCTAGCATTGGTGCACGCCTCCCACTGAGACTCTCCTCGTGCTCACGCTAGTGCTCACGGACCGCCTAGCAATTGCCTCATGCGGATCCTCGGGTTGGGTCAGGTCGGGTCGACCAAGATTTGGGGAGGGTTGGGTCCAAGTTTAGATTTCTTACATGTTTGTGTATTCGGATCAAGTTCGGGTTGAAGTAATCAAGGGCGGGTCCGTTTCGGGTTGGACCAGAGCTCAACCTAAAAACCCATTTTGACATCCCAAGGGAATGGAGACTGCTACTACAGTGGTCGGGCAATAGAAAGACACAAATATAGAGGGGAATCGGTTGGTTTTTGGAGGAAAAGAATAAGCTTTGAAAGGGAGGTTAAGATTTCATTCAATTCAAACTTGATTTTCGAATAAAATCTTTTATCTTCATTTATAGATATCCAAGGAAAATCTATAAATCTATTTAAATTAAAAAAAAAAAATCAAGATAGAAACAACCACTTAAATATAGCTAACTCCTAGATTTAATCTTTAAAATTTTATCAACTCCTATAATAAGTTGGAGAAATAGGTGGAATGAAATTAAGGCAATGTCCTTGATTCTCTCCAATAACATCTCTTTCTTATCCCATCCTTGGCCATCCTCACTTTTTGGATATTAAAACCATAATATTACAATTAAGTCCTCATACAATTCAAACTAAATGTGACAGTGGAAGTATGACGATTACACCAATAGTTCGTTAAATTGCTTCATGAATGATGATAAGCACACAACTGCTATTGAGTAAATATGATGGCAAGAATGTAACGAGGGTTGATTCAAGCTCTAGTAAAGTTAACAACCTTAGATATCTAAACCTATTAAAACAAAGAAGAAATGAAAGTTATGCATGCTCTAACTTGTACTTTTTTTAAAAATGTCTAGTCGCCCCAAAAATATCCTTTGGTCTAACTTGTACAAGATTTAAGATAATTGTGGTTAAGTAAGATTAAGTTGAAGCCAACTTCTATGAATACTTTGTCATTATAGAGATATTCTTTCTTCCTTAGAAGCCCTTCTCTAAGAGTTGTGAACTCATAATCAAGTAGTCTTCCACTTTGCAATGGAAGCAAACAAAAAGAGTATAAACTCAAGAAGCAATTCTCATTCAATCTTATCATTTTGTAGTATAAGGAACTCTCTATTTAAAGGAATAAGAAGGAGAGATAAAAATGTTAAAATATATATTCAAACTTACCAACATATACAAACTACAAAACTTTAACAACTACCATTCTCATACCTACGTAAATTTTAATATCAATTATTATTTCCACGCCTATCAATAACCCAATAATATAAGGCCTATTAAATCCTAGCCATCCCTTGGCATTTTGATCCCACGGCTAGGATGAGAATCCGTAGGAGGCTCACATGGATCACGCCGATCTCCCTTCCATATTTAGTTGGCTGATGCAGGAAGGATTATATTAGAGCAATTATGCATGATTTTGTAATTTTTTGTTTCTTTATTAAGATATATAGATCTATAAATATGGATAGTTTT